CCCCCCTTTATAAAAACCCGTTTTTTTTTTTGATTTTAAAAAAAAAAAAAAAAAAAAAAAAAAAAAAGGAGCCGTCATCACCAGCAACATGACAGCGAATGTCTTCAACAACCTGTCATAACGTGGCCTTCATTTATGTTCTGTTCTGCCTGCAACCAAAAGGCCAGGCTGTCACGGCTTTCGCCCGGTCTGCTGAGTTTTGTTCCACCCAACAAAAAATGTCTGGGTGAAGTAATGCAGATCACATCATCTGGGTATTTTATTCTTAGAAAACATGACATCAGAGAGCAATCAAACACAAGGAAAAGATGCATCACACTGGTTGAAAACAGGTTCAGGTTTTTGACTCCTAATAGATTTGATAAACAGCCTGTCTTGATAAATATTTCCAAGTAAAATAAAAGTATGCAAATTTAAAACTGAACACATTATTTGACATTAATGAACCTGGAAAGTATTCACAGCATTTACTGTTTATTTTGTGCCTGTTTTATTCAAGGCAGCAAACCAGCTATTATTTTTGCATAAAAAAATTGGCATATCCTATAGATTTTTCATTTAATCTCTTAAGTTTTATAATACAATGTTTAAATTTGCAAAACAAACACTTCAATTGCTTTATAAAATAAGAAGAAAAAAAAACATTTTATTGCCTAAAATGCAATAAAATAGCATTCCTTTAGTGAACTTGAAGTGGATATAGCTAAAATAACACTGTAGGAGTTTTGTGGTAAAGAATATTTAAAGACAAAAATGTTTTTATTATAAATGCTAAATGTATATACATTTTGTACAGCTTTGGCTTAATTACTGTTCTGAATACATTGGGTTTTTTTGTTTTGTTTTTTTAGACAAACTGCCTTTTTTTAGTCTGTATACTCCAGTTAATGATTAATCAATGACTAAATTAGCTGACAATTATTTCAATAATAATGACTAATCATTTCAGCCATAGTTATGTTTAGATAATACATTTTTAATATATTCATAAAAAGTGGCATCAGACATGTTTTCACTCATTCTAGGTTCTTTTGAGATTTTTTTATGAAGAAATCCATAGTGAAAAATGTCAAGTAAAGTAACAAAACACACAAAAAGGGAAACAATTTGATGAGCTACACAAAAAGGGAAACAATTTGATGAGCTACACTGATGCTTCTGCAGCCGAACCAGATAAGAGGATTTTAACGCCTCTCCCAGATCCTTCTGGATACACCTGCTTATGCTCATTGCAGCAGTCTGAACAATCCTGGATGAAAGTGTCCAGTGAGGCACGTAGACCTGTCGGAGGCAGTTTGATGAAGGAGCAAACCTGACCACCGCTGTTAAATATTAACAGCAGCCACACGCACAGTTGAGGTCTAAACATGGCCTACGTCCAGACCCGCTCGCTTTGCATGCCCTCCAGTTAGATTCAGTCCAACATTACAGGTGAGATTAAATCTTGCTGCTGTTTTCTGTCAAAGCAAACACCCAGTCACTTCCTGCAGGACTAAATGTTTCATTGTGGGCTCCAAAAATCCGACTTCAGACATTTAACTTGTCATCATTTGTAGAACCGGCATATTTTTAAAGGTTCGATATCACTTCATGTGGATGGAGTGCAAAATAGGCATGACAAGTGTCTTAAAAAAACACAATAAATAAAGAGATAAAGTGATCAGATCCATAGAGACCGTCATTAAAAGTGACACATTGTCGTTTCTGCACATTAACCAATATGTGCAGAGACATATTGGTTAAGCAGCGCCCACCTGTGATTGTTTAAGTTAATTCAACAGAATAAGGAAACCTAGAATTATTATTTGATTTATTTAGAAGTTTAAAAGTGGACTGCGAAATACTTTGTGAATTTCTAGTAGAAAGCTCTGCATACGTTTCCACTCCAGCTATGAACTCTGTCTGTACCCTTACAGTGTATCCAAGTAGCCATCGACCCATCTGATGCGTGGTTCTGTTCCCGCTGCTTCTGATTCAGAAAACGAGATTCTCTGCCTTGTCTTAAACTGACAGGATTTTTTTAAAAACCTTCAGGAAAAAGTGACCCATTTAAATCGGAATATTCTGATCTGTGCAAACAACTGTAGGAGGTTCCCGGACTTTATTGAGCACGACAGAAAGAAACTGTGATTGATGTGATTTTGCGTCCCTAGGTCATTACTTGCAGTGCCTTGTGAGGCTATGCTCGATGAAAATTGTAACATTTGTTACGTTCCAACCACAAACCTTCACTTTACGAGAAAAAACAATAAAAAGGAGTATATAAATGTTAAGTGGGTGGAAAATGATACACATAACTTTTACTTTTTTTACAACTGCAAATCCAGAAACTGTGGAGTGAATTTGTAATCATCCCTCGTTACTCTGTCACCCCTAAATAAAATCCAGAAGTCGCCTACTTGGTAAATATAAACCCCTATATGCAATTTAATGTAATAATAAATGTAGCTGTTGTGTGAAGGTTTTAAAGCAGGGATGTCCAAAGTGTGGCCCAGGGACCATTTGAGGTCCTCGGAACGACTTTGTCCCGGTCCTCAATAATAATTCAAGTTCCTAAATTACATTTGCCAGCAAAAGTGGTTGATGTAGAGGCATGTTTGGAATAAAATGGTGAACTCTCCCTAACAGATACATAAAAATCATCTTGAATAGATGAATATATATAATGTTCAGCTGTGTTTTTCCTTTTAATTTAGTTTAATTTAATAGTAAATTAAACACAAACATGCAAAAAAGAAAAAAAAAACAGACTTGGGAAATAAAGCCTGTTCCTTTTACTGAAAACACTTTATATGCTTCTGTTTTAAAGTTTTATTAAAGAGCATTAGTGAACAAACAGCATCATGACATTATACAAACGGTCAAGGATAAAGTTGTTGAGGTCATGATCACAGCTAGGTTGTTAAAAAGAAAAAAAAAAAAACATCCTGAGGTTTTAAAAATTTTCATCCCCTTAAAAAACCAGGCCAGGCAAACAGAGCTTTTTTTTTTAAAAAAAAAAAAAAAAAAAGAGCAGCCTGGAGGCTTAAAGCAACTGGAGGAGCTGCAGAAATCAACGGAGTGAAGCTGTTGACTTTGCAACTATTAGTTGTGCACTTAACAACTCTAGCCTTTACGAAAGCAACGTCCCAGTTGCATGGTTCTCACAAGCCTTGTAGCACAAACAGCAGACATGATGAATAAAATGTTTCGGTTAAATCGGGGGCCATACTGAAACTTTTAGGTCTTCATGGAAAACACGCCTGTGTACTTTCTAGCACAGGTCCTGGAGCAACCGACAGGCGCTTCAGATTTCAACCCATCTTTATTTGCATCCGCACCGCGACGACGGCTGTACTCAAAATGACAGCAGTTTAGGGAAGAATGGTGTCAACCCTGTGATTTGCGTAAAGCAATGGCCGCATGCATACAGGTTGTGAGTGAACGCTTTTCTAAACATTCACACACCAAAAAAATGCACACAAATGAGCACACAGAGTGAGATGTAAAGCACTTATAGCATCTATATAGGCATTTATGCACACCGCACACACTCACATAAAGAGTCTGGGATAAACCACATGCATTCTGCACACACCCAAACTCCACTGCCTCACACATCTGCTAATTAACAAAATGTAAACTTTTTTCTAGCCTAAATTACATGGTTGTACTGTGAAGTTACAGGCTTTATAAGAGCTTGTTTTGACTTATACAGCAAACATAAGAGGAAGCAAGGTATGAACGGCATAAAAAGACGAATTAGAACATTTCTAACTTTTATGACTATTGGTCAGATTTATTGAGCTTCTTTTTTTAAAGAGCTAGAGGAAAATCCTGAGAATACAAGAAACAGACAAGTTTGAAGGCAAACGAAGGTCTACACCAAACTTTTAATTTAAGTCAAAGCGCATGCAAGCTCAGAACAGAAAGGCGGACTGGATTTAGATCAATCATAAAGAAATAATGGACTTTGACATTTTCCCAAACTGATGTAACCGTCAAACAGCTACCGTCATGTTTTGTGTATAAAAAAACCAAACAAGACATTGTAAGCTTAGCAGCTGCCAACCCTCCTCCAGTAGGTGCCAACCCTAAAAAGATGAAACGATGCCTGTTTTATCTCACATTTAAATATTAACAACATGTAATGAAAAGGTCTTTAAATAATGAAGCAGAGTGATGACACCCTTGGTAAACTCTTTAGCACCGCATGACTGCTGTCATTTGGCTTCCAGTGTCTCTGGTGTTTTGTTTAAGTAGTTTGTTTTTCTCCTGACAGCAGGACAATCGATTAATTAATTATAGATGTATTATTCAGACCATTTGGCTAGATTCAGTATACTACATTTTTTAAATTATAAACAGCTTACATGGATGCATGGATGGATGGAAACATAATAAGGTATCAAACAGAAATCTGAAACGGAAGATTTGCAATGGTGAACTTACTGCGAATCTGTCTCTTGATCTCCTTTGTGGGATCCAACCAACACTGGGGGGTCACAGAAGGAGAAACACACAGCAAGGAGAGAGTCAAAATCCTGAATCAATGCAGCCTTTCATGTTTTAGCCTAAAACCCAGGCAGTGCACACCTTCTCATCATGGTTGTCCTTGTACGTCAGGCCAAAGTAGTCCTTCTCCAACAGATTTAGGTGCTCACACACCTTGAAGAACAAGTACTGCCCCTTGGCTCGTTTCTGCTGAGACAAAATGAAAGAAAGGTCATCACAAAGAACCATTTCTAACATCATTTGAAAACTTGAAATTAAAATTTTAGGAGTAAATCTGTTAGATTACTCTCTGCTCTTTATTACAGTGTCTTCATTTGTCTCGCATTCCTTCATCGGCCTGATAGCGGCTTTAGCCCTGAAATCCTCCACACTCAGCTATGACAATGACATTTAACAACCATCTGTGAATGCATGCCCAAGTGTGCGCACCCAAACACACAGCGGCCCCCTTCAGACAGTCAGAAGGTCAAAGGAAGGAGGGTGGAAAAGAAGGGGCAGGCGATCACAAAGAACAAAGTAATTATATGAGGTCAAATTCTTCTGCTTTTGAGTTATTTACTGGAGCCTCACTCTAACGCTGGCGGTCAGACAGAGAAGAGGGCATTGCTCACAGACAGGCTAGGGAGCGTGGTGGAAGTGGAAGGACGCAGATGAAAGAAATCATTTTTCCTTTTGTCCTGGGACAACTGGAAACATCTGCGGTATTTGAATGCAACATTTTTAGAGTGTCGTTTTGTCTCGCCACAAAGCGCTACCGCTACATGGTTGAGTTAGACCATGTGACACCAAGACCCTCCCCTCTGAAACATCGAATACAGCATTAATGCAGGTTTCACCAATTCAAATATAAGACTTTTTAAAACTATTATGAATAAAAGACCTATAACACAACAAAAATATACAAAAAAAAAAAAAAACTACAAGGGACCAAAACAGTAAAATTTCTGGGGTCTTTTGGTGACTCTTGGCAGCAGATTTGTGTATCTAACAGAATGTCATTAGCAGTTAGCATATGCTAGCTAAAAAGCAAACTAGCTAGCTAGCCAGCTACCAAGCAAGTGTTAGCAGCTCGTTACCGGTAGCTTTAACCGGCTTAAGTCATGGCAAATAATGAGTGAAGATGTCTGCTTGATAGAAAAGTCCAGTGAGAAATTTTTTTTACATAGGATTTATAAGATTAAATAGATAAAATTAAAGAGACAAAATTTAAGACCTGTGATTAGCGTATTTAAGGTCAACTCACATATTCTTTAATGAATTTAAGACATTTTCAAAACTTACTTTTCCATAAATGAGACAACTTTTTTAAAGACTTTTTAAGGACGGTGGACACCTTGTATACTTATTGTAAGTCCTGAATATTTTAATTCTTGAAACAAAGCAAGTGATCAGAACATATAAATCTGTCGTATTGCCCGTGTTGGAAGTCTGCTAGCAGAACAGAAAATTTAATCTCTGGAATGCATTGTGCATCTTTCCAGGCCGCCATCCTAACTATGCCAGCATGTGGAGTGAGGGATGGATGGATGGATATGTGTGAGAGTGTGTGTGTTTCACTACAGGACAATAGGAGTTAGTTGCAGTATCAGCGTTATCTGTTGTGCCACAAAGCAGCCACTGTTCAAACAACCGTAGACTCTCACAGGCGAGTCAGTTAGGCGTTGGCACACTGTAGATCAGGGAACCGGTTTGGCATCGTCCATTCCCGAGTGCAGGATTGTGAACCCTAACGTTAAAATTGTCAGAATCCGGTGCATGTTCTGCTTACGAACACTCGATGCAGAAATGCAGACATGGAGGACCAAAGTGGATCTGCACAATGGCTATTTTGGGATGCTTCCCACTGGATGGGGGCAAGTGTGGGAATTTGAGGGGTTGTAGGGCTAAAAATGTCCACACTGTGTGGGAAATATTTTCAAGCAAACTGCAGTGATTAAAAAATTGGGACAAAAAAAGGCAGTAAAAGGGATGGTTTGGCTTTTTTATGGGAGAACAGAAAACTTAATGTGCCAGCCTCACCACACCACTGATGATGTTCTCTCTGGTTGTTCTGCAGTTCGGTTCATGCTCTGCTTTGTCTATTTTAACTAAACAATTGCTCCTGTGTATATTTACGCTTATTCAGATGTACCGTTATTGTATTTAAGTAAACAAATGTCTTAAGCTAAAGTGAAGAGGTTTACAATCTGCTAATATAGTATTGGTGCACAGTTCATCTAAGCACACATTCTTCCACATGCTTGTAGCAAATTAAATTTATTTTGGCTTTCTTTACATTGGGCATGAAAACTTTTCAAAGCAATATAAGTTGCTGTGTCTGTCTGTAGGAGAATGGGGGGATATAAGGCACGTGTCCATTGGGGAGCAACAGATGGAGAAAAGTAATCTGGTGGAACCCCCTAATCTGCTCAATGTGTGTGTGAGTGCGTTTTATTCCCCGGACGAGCCCCCATCAGCTTGGTCCGCTTTGCAATGTGAGCAGGTGGTGCTTCCGCCATGGCTATGCTTTGAGTCAGAAAGTTAAATACCCCAGAGCTTTTTTCCCCCCCAACAAAGACACACACCAGATCTGATCCTATTAGTGATTACATCACTGGCATAAAGAAACTCACGTGCTTTGGACTAAACAAGCCTACTTTTATTTACAGACGAATTTCAGTGACATCTTACCTCCACCTCACAGGTGAAGTCAGTCCCATCCAGGAGGGTGACGTGACACACCACCACCTTCATCTTATTCTTCCTCACCAGGCGAAGAGGAGACTGGAAAATCGAAGTCTGGCTTTCTCCTCCGTCTGTTTCAGCCTCCACGTGTCCTTCTGGCTCCTTCTTCTTCTCCTCCTCTGCTCCTTCTCCGACTGCAGTGTCTTTGGTCTTCTCCGGACTTTTTGCAGTGGCGTCTTCCACCTTCTCTTCCTTTGCCGGCTGCAAGAAAAAAGCGAGGCAAAATTCAGTTGTTATTGATGCTCTGATTTCTTTATTATCTTATTCAAACCCCAAATGCTTGCTTGAACTCAGTGGGAAGTTCCCAGTTGGCTCCATTTAATGCTCCTTGTGTGATTTTCTCTCCAATTTGATGTTTAAAGGAAAGCAGGCGTTTCTTTTGGCCTGGTGACTGAAATGTTGATGTAAGTGGGTGGGTCCACTTAGCATAATGTGACCAGCGGATGGAAGAACACATGTAAGAAAGCTGGAGAACATTTTCAAGTCTTTCCTTCATTCTTTCCGGGTAAAGAAACAAATCTAAAGAGAATACTGATGCACATACATCTTTATCAGCTTGACGTCGTCTTTTTTTTTTTTTTTTTTAAGAGGTAATCTCCTTAAAATGTTCCTCCCTTTACTGTGAAGTGGAAAATCTTGGTTTTCAAAGTTTTTCTTGCCAATTAAAATTTGAAAAATGTAGTGTGCATTCCTTTACTGTGATACTCCTAAATCCAGTCAAGTGCTGTTCATACAGAGTTAGAAGTTCAATTCAGTTGTATTTATTTAGCGTCAATTCACAACAAATGTCATCTCAAGGAATTTTACAAAAAAAAAAATATATATATATTTAAATTAACTCACACATACTTTCCAATTGATCCTAATTATCAAACAATAGAGTAAGCTCAATTAATTATTAAAAAGTTGTTTGAAAGCCACGGCTATATTTCTGACTAGTACTCTCTAAACTTTTACATTTTAATTTGTAAAAGATTTTTAAAATGATGCAGAATATTTCTTTGGTAACACTTTATTTGAAGGGGGGTGAATAAGACTGTCATGACACTGTCATAAACATGACATAACACCTGTCATGAACATGAATAAGCCTTCATGAATATTTATGACTGTTGTCATAAAGCGTCATTCGGTAAATTATGACACTTTTAATACAAAGTTGACATTATTCCAAATGTCTTTGTTATGACAACTTGACATTAACCAATAAATCATTACTGTTTAAACTTCACCTTTAATAACATAAAGTTACCTGATTTTTAAAGTGCAATCAGTAATACTTTTATAACAAATTTATATCAATAATGATTTATTGATTTACTTATGATTTATTTATTCATGACAGCCTTATTCACCCCCCTTCAAATAAAATGTTACCATTTCATAGTCAACCACTACTTTATGTTGTTTTGTCACATAAAAACTCCTTAAGATACATTGAAGTTTGCAGTTTCAACATGACAAAAAGTGAAAATAAACACACTGCAAATCATCTCTATGGCTCCAGTTGTAATTTTTTCCAAACATTTTAGACTAAATTCACACAACATCTGAAAGTACAGCTCCCATTTTCCCATTTTTGCCATGATGCTGATGATACACATAGCAGAGCCCCTTACCTCAGTGTCTGCACTGGCGTTGGAGTCAGATTCAGGCTGCGTTGCTTCCTTGACTTCCTCCGACTTCACTTCCTCTTTCTCTTCCACTTCCTCGGCGTGGCCGTTCACCTCCGGGGCAGGCTCCTCCTCTCCCTCTACCCCCTTGCTGACGGGTTCCTCTGTTGCTGGGACCTCCTTTGTTGGAGATGTCTAAATGGGCAGAATTTCATTTTTTTTATTAAATCCCAGTTTTAGACCTTAGATAACATCCCTGGCTTTTAAGATCCAGTAAACAGACACTGATAGTGAAACTGAAATCTTGCTTTTCACGCAGTCTCAACAGCATAGTAACATCAGTGTGACTTTACCTGAGATTTCTGTTTCTTAAACCATGTTGGCAGGTATCGAGTTATCCCTTTGCCTTCTTTGCCCTCTTTTTCCTTCTCCTTCCCCTTCTCCTTCTCCCCTCCCTCAACGTTTGCTACTTCCTGGCTCTCTGGCTTGGCCGTCTCCGATTGGTCCGGCTGAGCAGCTGACTCCTCTGCTTTCTCCTTCACCTCTGTCTCAGAGCCCGCTTCTGTTGTCATGGTGATGGGTCAATCTGTAGTAAATTAAAAGGAAAGAAAAGAAAAAGGAGGTGAGTGATGAAGCATGATGTGATGAAATGCCTTTTGGGTTTTACGACTCCTACAAAAGCATGGAGGTATGTTGTACGTTAAACCCACTGCAAATATTTGCCTAACACAAATAACAGCTGGCAGCAGGTGAACTCATTAGTTTATGATATCACATTTCCACAGAGACTTTCATCTGGGTCACTAGCTGGTAACAAGCACATCTTTGTAAACCCAGAGAAAGGGAAGCGAGTTCCTCAATTGTTAAAATATGAGTCACAACGGTTTTGTCCTGCAGCTGCGGTCAGCATACACAAACTCTTCAACCCAAATTTCCTTGGCAGCGCTGTCCACACACACAACCTTTCACAGCAACAGATACTTTTCAAGCAGCTTGACGCTAATTTGTTGATAGCACTGTGAGACGACGACATCGCTTCTCTAGGGGAAGTAAAGGTCAGGGATGTGAGATGAACAAGTTTGAAAGTAAAGACGTGGTATTTAAATCATACTTAAGATGCCATTCCTCTTGAGTCATCTTTATTTTTCCTTATTAACATCTTAAACGGTCCTTGACTTTCATTACTCTGGTCTGCCATGTTCGATAAAAGCGGACACACAAACATCCACAGTGCAGCAGCGGTGCAAAGGGAGGGGGTCGGAGTAAAAATAGAACAGGTCTTCTTACGCATGATTGGCTAATGAGGTAGAGCTGGGAGGAGGAGAGATGGATGGGGAAAGGTGTGTGTGTGAGTGTGTGTGTGGGAGAAGCAATAAACCAGTTGAGTAGAGAACAAAAACGAGGAGATAAACACTTCTTAAGAGGTAAACCCAGTCCAATAAAACATCACATACAAGAACCGCGGCTGAGTTTTCTCAGACTCAAAACCGATTCTTGAGCGTTTCTCATAGAGGTTCAATGATAAGTCGAGGAAAAAATAAGGGAATCAAAACAATTTGCTAAAAATAAGAAGTTGCTTGTAGATCCAGGAATGAAAAAGTAAAACTGAGCTGCACATACGCAAGCTTTGATTCCGTTTCAGAAAATGTGTCTCATCAGAGTCGAGGTTTTACTGCAGAGTCGAGGCGAAGCTTTCCTGTCGGCATCAGAGAAGCAATGAAGAAATACTATATCAGGTGTGCTGTAAGCGAGCAGCGCCTGAAGACCGTCTGCAGAGCAAAGTAAACCTCCAGTCTTCAGACTCAAGGGGTTTGTCTCCAACAGGTTCTTCTGCCAGGATTGCCCTGAATTGAGCTATTTTGTTTACAGGGATTTCATGATCCATTTTATTTCTGACTCTCTGTGAATGTTTATGACTGCTGTCATTTGGTAAATACTGACACTTTTAATGCAAAGTTGTACTAAAAGTTGCAATAAAAGTGTCACCTTTGCACTAAAAGTGTCATTATTTACCGGATGACACTTCATGACAGCAGTCATAGGTATTCATGTTTACCCCTTCTTGTTCATTACAGGTGTTATGTCATGTTTATGACATCATTATGCCAGTCTTATGCACACCCCTTCAACTAAAGTCCTTGTTGCACTGGATTTTATTTCTAGTCGTCAGAGTAAAGAGGGTTAAACAGAAATGGTTGCTATGTGCAGTCCTGTCACAACAACACATTTTGCTGGATGATAAATTGCTCCAGAAGTTATTGCAATGAATGATAATGTTGTTTTTAGACCATTTTCAAGTAATACATTGGTAATGGCATAATAATGCAAGTTTCCCCATTTCATAAACCAATAAACTTTAATTTCTGACCGAAAAAAAAACAAAAAACACAAACACACAAAAGAAACAACAAATAAAAGGAATTATTAAGTCTCTATAAGCAAAATTTCCACCAGACTGAAGTTTTTGTCATCCAGTCTTTAGAAAGACTGAGAAAAACGATCACACAAATAAAATCATCCAGCTCGTTTTAATTTATCATGCGGTTAACTGATTTATTGCGTCAGGCTTTTACCACGTGCCATTTTCCTCCCTCTAATTATGTAATACTTTGTACAGAGCTATAGAGTAGTGATTATAATATGATCAAATATGAAATGGTTTAAGGGCGACGAAAACTTTTGCAAAGCACTGGATGCCCAATTTGAGTAGCGACAAAACTACTTCAATTCTGGTTTGTAAGAACAATCCTCTATTAAAGACACCCTGCAGATCCTTCTCAGAAACAGTGCTTCTCTTTAAGAGTGGGTTCATTCGGAGATGGCACCTAAGTGGAGCTTCGTCACGGCGACTTAGGCCTGCTTCAAACTCGCCCTCTGTCTCTGCAGCTATTAACACCGGGAACCTTGTTCTGCTGCTCCCATAACTTCAACTCTCTCGTTTCCCCCCCGCTTTCTCTTCTTTGCTCTCTTTTCTTCTCAGCTCAGGAAGCCTCTTTCTCTCTTCCAAGGCCCCATTTTGGCCTAATTTACATTATCTCCTACACTCTTCTTCTCTCTCTCTCTCTCCCTTCACAAACAAGCCAGAGAAGACAGTAAAACCAAGTTTTTCTGATGGGAGTCAAGAGTTTCTGAGCTACAACTGTAACAGATGGCTGATACAAAGAGGTCAGGCACAGGTGAGAAACATTGAATCGTACAGCTGACGCCTGAGCGAGCCGACATCCTGCGCGTTTCTTGCTTCATTAAAGACGACTCCAAATTCGTCTGCAGGCGCAGACTGGCGGTGTTGTGGTGCATTTTCTTCAAATATTTTATGCTCATTTAATCCAGTGGAATCGTGTAAGTCGGGTTTGTGATTCAACATTCCTGAGCTTTCTCTGCATTTACCTTAGCCTCTCACTTTGCATATCTCAACCGATTTAATCATTATCCAGAGGTGTGCAGAATCGCTGGCTAATTGCCGTTTTACTCCGCTTTGTGCATTTGACATGATTCGCCTTTATTTGCTTTACAAAATTGCCACAGATGAAACTGTTGTGAGAAGCTGATTACCCTGCTGGGAACGTTTCCCACCTCTCCTGTTAGTTCGTGCAAATGAGCGGATGAATGGTTACGTGAGCTGATGAGCTTACAGCCTTACCTACCGTCGCTTGTGTTTCTCTCTTACTTCCCTTTCGCTCCTTCTCACCTACGGTTGCCTTCTGAAATCCTGTTCAGCTCTTTCTGCCTTTCCTTTCTGTCTCTTTCTCTCCCCTCCTGCTCAGGGAACGCCTGTCCTACTAACTGTCCTCCATCCTCTCCTCCGTCCCTCAGAGCTCCTCTTCCTCCATCCCCTCTCCCCCGCCTCCCAGGACCCTCGCTCAGAGAAACGAGGGCAGAAAACGGGAGAGAAATTCAGAGGGCTGGAAAGGGGGGGAGGGCGGAGTTACAGAAGACCCTTGAGAGAGACACAGAAAGTGTGCCTACTGCGCCAGATTACTAATGGACGACGATCGTCATAGGGATTAAGACTTCCTCGGCTCGGTTTTCATACCACATCAAGCAGGAAAAGCTTCCCTAAAACCCCATTTCAAAATTACCATACCCCCCCCCCCCCCCCACACTGTTTTTTCATTGTACTTGTTTGGAGTATTTATGAGCATCCTGAACGCAGAGCTCTTACATACGAAGTTATCACTGCATCATTTTTTTTTAGAGTGCAGACAGTTGAAACTGCATATTTCTTTGCATGGAAAAAGAGGGTCATGAAGAGTACCACTAACCCCAGAGAGAGGGAGAGAGAGCACCACCCATTTGTTCAGATATGACTCCGTTCCGCCTCAAACATCGAAGCCAAATAGACAGAAATTCAAATGGAAAACACTGTCACAAAGGGGGGGGAAAAAGGACAGTAATAATCTGGGTTTTAATGCCTCCCTTCCCCCTTTTTCCTTTCTTTTATATGTTGTAATGAAGATAGCAGGGCTGTCTAGGTGATACAAAAGCACATGCGTACCCACCCACCCTATTCTACGGGGCGTAGCAGGGCAAGAGTGGAGGAACAGGTTTCTATGGTGAAGGCATTCATGGGCTACGACAATAAATCCCCATGGAGATGAGAGATTACAACGGCAAAAATAAATATCTGTGGATGGGGGGGGGGACTGGTGACAATAGGAGAGTGTTACCGTGTCGAAGCCTTTTCAGAGCACATCAGGGTTACATGCGACGTTCATTGTGCAGCTATCAGAACCGGAACGGATACTTCTGACTCTCTGCGTTCAACCCGCCGTAAAGAGAGCAGGGCTCCGTTTAACACCGGCTGCTTCATCCATGACTGTCCTTAAAAAGTCATTCAGCGACTACGATGACGGTGATTTATGCTTTATGATATTTGCTACTAATTTTTGCTGCTTGGTGATACAGAGCACTTTTTGCAAAATAAAACGAGTAGCCAGAGATGGTTTCTTCCCCCAGGCTGTCTCTCTGATGAACACTTTCCAGGAAAAAAGTCCAAATCAGACCTATACCATGCACTAACTCATATCTACGCTAAGTATTTTAGTAACTGATTAATCACTAACAGATACTGACTCAAAATAAGGCCATTTAAGATAAAAACACCCTTATCTGTAAGTATGTCTAGTCAAGTCTAGTTCTTATTTGCTAAAGGAATGCTATGTTACTGCATTTTGGGCAACTAAATGTTTATTTTCTTATTTAAATAGAAAATTGAATTGTTTTTTTTTTTTAAATTTACATCTTTTAATGTCATTCTAATATCGTGCATAGCTAAATTAAAAATCTGCAGAATGTTCTCATGTTTCGTTTAATAGAATAACCAAGAGTGTAATAAATTACTAAACTAATCATTAGTAGCGGCCCTAATTTATACATATTTACAAAAAGCCATTGTGTGTGCACACAAACTTTAATAAATAAAGTTGATTCTGACTATTACCTGCAACAAAACGTAGCAGGCTCTTTTACTGCACACACACAATGATGCTTGAAACCTCAATGAGGAAAACGGGACGATCTCTGATCAGTGGGCTCCAGTGATTCACATAAGAGTTGCTGTAAAATAATTTCATTAAGGTCAACAAC